AGGGAGTGCGCGCCCTCCCCTAGATATGCCACTGCTTACATTTTTTCATATAATAGAATTGAAATGCTATTGTATTGTTTCCTAGCTAATAGCAGAGACATCTTTAACATTAATAATGTGTGAAAATTAACAGTAATTGCCTTTTTCTAGGCATGCCAGTGCACTGAAGTAGACACACTGATTCCACTAAAGTTTAAAGGGTTGAAGCTGTTGCTCGTAGGAGACCCACATCAGCTCCAGGCAACAGTTGTATCAGAGGTTAGTGTTAGGACACAGATAAAACTCCTTGAGTATTTTTGCTACAAGTGATTTGAAACATGATCTTAACTGATTCCTGATTTGACAGATTTCATTTTTTTTGTTTCCATGCTTAATGTCTTATGATATAATGTGTGAAATCCTAATACAGTAATGTTCTGTGGTGTCGTAAAAAATCCCCATTCTCTGGTTATAAATAATTATTGGTTTAATCATTAAATCAGTTTTGTTTTGTCCACAGAAAGCAAAGGAGTTGGGCTTTCAACAGTCTATGTTTGAACGTATGTACAAATACTTCAAAACTCTGAATTTACCAGTCAACCCTGTGCACCTGTTGAGGACTCAGTATCGAATGCACCCAGAAATCTGCAGCTTTCCCTCAAAGTACTTCTACAACAACGAACTAGAAACTTATCTGTATGTACCTGATTGAATCTCTATCCTCTTAAAGACCCTCTCCTCTCTGATAATGATACTGACAGGGGTGGATCCAGAGATGTCTGAAAGTGGGGCCGATGAAGATAACACCACCCTAGGGGGCCCGTGAAATTTTTGTTTTCTAGACACCAGAAAATAACTTCTGAGGCATTTTAGGCGATTTATTCTTTCTTTTTCTTTCTTTTAAAAAAAATTTTTTTTACACCGCCCCTGACTGATATAAATATAAAAAATATTGGTTTAGTATATAGTAATGTTTTTTAGTAAATATATGTACAGTAATATATTTTATTATATTTTAGCTCTTAATACCATTTGTATTCATTTAATTTTTAGTCTTTAGCTGCAGTAATTGCAACATAATTATGTTTTTCCTTTTACCTATTCTCATACAAACATTGTGTTGAATTATCATATATATATAATAATATACCTTACACTCCTTTCTCTTCTCTTGCAGTCAATAATTTGTTTTTCCTTTCCAAAGTCTATTTCAACCACTTCTCCCTGTTGTTTCAATCGCTCTCCTCTATTTCCAATATTCTTTTCTATCCATCATCTTTCTTGCTTCATGGTTCAGGCAAACCCTCCTTTTTCAGCAAATCCCCTTTTGATGGCGAACCTCCTTCTCCACACACTCAAGGTAAGGGAGGGATTGATTTCTGACATCCGAAGAGTACATACATAAAAGAATTATATTTTCTCTTATCCCCTTCTGCAGGGGCGGATCCAGAAATGTCAAAAAGGGGGGGCCGGAAGGGGGGGCCGAAAGTTGGGCCGATTGAGACAACACTGTCGTAGGGGGTCCGGGGCATGGCCCCGCGAAATTTTTGTGTTCTAGACGCCCGAACATAACATTTGAGGCATTCTGGGCTATCATTTTTTTCTTTTTCTCTCTTTTTTTCTTCTTTTTTTTTCTTTTTTTTACCTCCCAAAAGGGGGGGCCGGGGCCGGGCCGGCCCCCCCTAAATCCGCCCCTGTTCTGATATGGTGTGCAGACCTTTTGCAATCCTAATGTAGCAATACTTAGCCCTTGTAACACAAATTTAAAAAAAATGCTCTGCCTTTGAGGAATTGCCACTGATTCCAAGCCCAGAAACCTCCACCCACAGATAACCCTGGCTAGGCCTGACCTTTTAACAACCACATCCACTTCTCATTTTCCACTTAAGCTTCATTATTTTGCCCCCCCCCCCCATCCAATTTTTCTTAGCAGTAGGAATGACTGTTACATTATTGACATTATTTTTTATTTGAGCTGTATATGAAGGGAAAAAAGAATAAATTTTAACTATACATTTCTTGCTACAGACCAGTTGAAACAATATACAATTCGTTTCCGTTTAAACCTTACTTAGTATTTGACATCATAGAAGATGGAGGGCAGACAGTTGACAAGTGAGTAAAGTCATTTTATGCTGTTTTAGTGCATGTTATGATGTGGCATACTTGACCAAAGCAACATATGATATTTCAACAGGTGAAAAAATTGATTTTTTTTGCCCTACTTGACATAATTTCTATTTTTTATGTTGCCTTACATTAGCTTTCTGTAGTAATCAATTTCAACCTCAGCAGATGTTTAGACAAACACAGTTACTGTTGATACATTTACATGCACTGTAATGTAATGTTTTTATTTTTGTTAGGGATATTACAAACGAAGCAGAATCTGAAATGGTATTAGCATTAGTCTCACTGCTGGTTACTTTTGACAAGTTAAGCATTGGCATAATAACACCATGTAAGCAACAGAATATTTTGCTGGAGGACAAATTTAAAAGGTAAACTTGTTTCTGTTCTGAAATGTCCCGGACAGTGGAATGTCTTACTAACATCTGTTAATGGTTGTTTTTTTTTTTCAAAACTGCAAAATTTTTTAATTATTATAAAATTCAGAGGATATAAGTATACTAGAATGCAGACACTAACAGTTGTCCCAAGTCTGCTGCAGCTTGCAAGAGACTCTAAGAAATCGGGACGGCCTTCCACACTCCTGCAAGCAAGCAAAAATCTCACTGAAAATGCCACAAATTCATAATATTTGTGTTCACTGTTTTATTATCAATTGTATCACAGAGTGCATCAAAAGATGTGTTAAGAAATCTCATTTAACTTCTTCCAACTTGGGACCCCTGCACTAATGCTTGCTATCCTGGAATTATACAAATTAACTGTGATGTGAGTAGTCTAAATGAGATACATACCTAGATGAACCAATAATTTCAAAATAATGCCAATTTGTTAATGCACTTGGATTAGTCAATTTTATTTTTTTTTAGGTAAGTTTCTAAAAGGCAATCAGAAATAGATTTAGAAGCTTTTCATTAATTTAACTGAATCAGTTGTAGTTTATCCTTTTGCAATTTAGCTTAGCACAAATGACCACTATAACACCATAGATATTATTACACATAGTTGCTATTAGTAAGTATATCTGCCAAACTGCCTCTAGGAGCAACTCTGGCAGTGTGGGAAGTTTCAGCAATTTGAATTTTTTTTTAATTTTCATTTATCTTAGAGCCAGCCTAATACCAACTATTTTTTTTTGAGTTTTGAGAAATATGACAGATTCTGACATTATGGCACTTAACTTTATACAGTACTGTATATATAAATGTTCTTTCATCTTTTTGGTCTCTTACAGATTTGGTGTTAATATTGGAGAAAAAATTGAGGTTTCCACTGTAGATGGGTTTCAAGGACAAGGAAAAGATGTCATTATTTTGTCTTGTGTCGGAGCAAGAGGCAGCAGCATTGGGTTTGTGTATATTAATATTGATAATAGTATACAAACAATTCAATGCACCAATTTAAAAAAAAGTAAATGATCAAAGGTGCAGAACGTATACCTTGAGATATCTTATATAATATCATCATAATTTTTAATTAATAGGAATAAACTGTAGTAACAAACTTAAGCCCTTTTCAGATAGACGTTGCCTCAATATTGCGGTAATCACGCTGGCATGATTATCGGCCTATGTGATTACATATGGCAGCATCGTTCTGCTTGTATGTCTAAAAGAGTCTGACAGAATGCTGTAGTATTGGAGGTTTACCCTGACAGAGCAAGGCTGTAACCGTTATTACGTGGTGTAAAGTAAACCAGCATATTGAAGCATCGACCCTTTCAAATAGAAACCCATGCCAGCTTGCTTACCGCAATACTGCGGATTTACAGCTTTGTGTTAGAGGAGCTATAGAAACGTTACTGTATACCTATGTCAGGTGAACCATTTATAAGTTTTCTTTTCTTTTTTAGATTTGTTGCTGATCGTAACAGAATGAATGTCGCTCTTACTAGAGCCAGAAAGGCTCTGTACATTGTAGGACACTTCAAGACTCTGCAGGTATACAAAATGAAACACCATGAACATAAATAAATACATCTATCATGCTCTTCCATTGACTGCTGTGTAAAACTTTATTTTCCGTCTCTGTTGAATCCCCTTTGTATTGTTTTTTTTGTATGTTATGATGTCATCACATCACTGGTATAATGTCATTACATCATTCTTTCTTTTCTGCCATTAGCCAATTTTATTATTTTGAGTGTGAAATTTTACTACAGTATGTTTTCCATATGAATTCATTGTGTTTTCAAATTTTGTTCAGATGAATGAAGATTGGAAAGAACTAATGAGAGATGCAGAGAAGAGAAAACTGGTCCACTCTGTACATATTGGGCAATATGAAATAGCTGCAATACTATGCAGGAAGATTCCCTAATAGTAAAAACAGAAAGTGACTTGAGCGTAGGCCAGACATGGAGGTTAGGTTTGGGCAAGGGCATTGTAGTTATGGGATTCAGGATTGAGAGCCAGTGCAAATATTTAAGGCATTGCTTGGAAATTTTAAACAATGTACAAATAGTGTACTTACAGTAGTAGTGAATAACATTATGTTTTTAAATTTATAACTTAGTGTAAATGGGCTTTGAAGTGTTGATGAAAGGAGTAGGACTGTGATATTTTCAGATTTTTGTTGGCCTTTGACAAAGGGTCTTCCATTACATTAATTAAGAAACACAGTGACATTACAAGTTGGTAAAGAAGATAAGGAGTTCAAAAAGAGACAACATTGCTTTTACTTTCCCTCAAGTTTCTCCTCTTCTTTTGTAAGTGGCAATGCTAATGACATTTCATCCTAGATATTCGCAATTGATAGTACTCTCCAGCAAAGATTTAACAGAATAATTAAGTAATGTGCTGACAACAAATTGCTACTGAATGTATAGCCTACTTCTAAATTGTAATCTTGTGTTGGTGTATAGTTTAGTTTACTTTTTAAAATTGTATGTGTTATACAAATTTAATGCTACCATAATTATTTTTACTAATGTTATATTTTATAATAATGTTAATAATTGCATGTTTTTTAATGAAGTATAAGAATCATTTGTATAAGTGCTCATTTAATAGGTGCTAATGATTATATTAAGTATATAATAATGTATAGTTATAGTACTAGGAGTTTCTAATAGAAAGTAAAATGCTGCTAGTATGCAATTCATGTAAATTGATATTTATGTAAGATTTCTTGTTGATACAGTGCAGTATTATTTATTCATTTATTTATTTATTATAACAAAAAATGAATACTCACGCAGGGCCCCATGGTTGAAGATAAGGAACCCACAAGCCCACTAGGGGTGAGTACGGAAATATTTTAAACTTACACCCCATTCAGACTAGACTTTGCATTGCGACCGGTTGCGATGTAATCGGTGGTAAACAGTTTTAATCCAAATTGTTTGCAACCATTCGCAAACTTCGACAGCATTTAGACAACTTTTTACTTTACATCACTAGTAACGATATAGGTCGTCCTGTTCTGTTTGACCTCAGCCAATCAGTGCCTGTGGAATCCGTTGCAATCGGATTCTGTGGTAATAGGGAATAATAAAGATTGTAGCACCCAATCGCAACGGGTAACAATTGCGCAATTGATTACTTATCGACTACTATTGGTGAGCTTTCAGACACGATTTTACTTTGCGATTGGGTGTCGCAATTGCTACAACCGATCGCAATGTGAAGCTAGTCTGAATAAATTGCAAGGCCACAATGGCGGAGATTTCATATTTTATTTTTGTTGTTGGGGGGAGGGGGCACTAATCTGAATTGTGCCACTAAGGCAGGAGAAATCAGGCGTGCCACCTAGCACCCTTGTGTGGTCCAGGGAAACTCCCAGTGGGGTCGTAGCCACCCTATAGATGCGACCAATAAGTTATTAGCTTAACCAAAGCTCTCACTAGTGTGAGCGTACAAGTCATTTATATGGGTGTAGGTGTCTGGGAGTTAGATTTGTGCCAATACCATTTACGTTTTTATGGTCTAATGGTATGATGCAGGTTCGAATCCCGCTAGAGACAATCTTTTTCATTCAACTGAAAAACGAACTTATATTGAATGGCTATGCTTGTTACGATTATATCATCCTATTCAAGCATTATTATTATCATTTATCTCTTCCTTGTAGATAATATTAAATTTTCAGGACATGCAGTACAGAATAAATGAAATTTGTAATTGCAATTCTCTCCTTTGAATTAGGATTTACTCCAAAGATTATTTTCTGAATTGTTTTCTGTAATTAAGTTGCCACACTGCATTGAAAATTTTGACATTTTAAGCTATTGGCAGTATCAGTTTTATGTAAAGGTATTGCGAGCTGGGGCAGATGCAGAATTTTGTGGTAGGGGTGCATGCAAGGGCGCAGATCTGTTTTGAAATGTGTGGGGGAGGGGCATTTTGTGGAAATAGTACCTGTAGATGGCCGGAAATGACACTTTTATATAGTAAAATTCATCATCATCACATCACCATTATATAGTCAAAATGAAATGCCAACAAATTCTCATGATCTTTTATCGGCGATTTTTGGCAACCACAGAGACCTATGTGATGTACCATAGAAAATAAAACTTAAAAACAATGTCTTTGATGTATGTGCTTGACATACTTCAAAGCCGCAAGTCCACAACCACATCAGCCCCACCATGGTTGGGGCTGAGGTTTGAAAAGTTGAGGAAATAGTACATTTAGATTGGCAGAAATGACACTTTTACTGTATATAGTAAATTCATCATCATATTACCATCATACTAAATGAAGCGCCAAGAAATTTCTCATGAAAACCCGTAGACTTGCCACAAGTCTCTAATTATAGGTTTTCCTAGTATTAGTTAATTTTGGAGAGCGCCACCAGCGACGGTATATATCGAGAAACTTTTATCCAAGAAAAAGTATACTATGAAACGCCAAGCAAATAGGTAATATAGAACGCCATTGGTGTCAAAATAGATTTAAAGACAAAGATTAGGGACTGAAACCCAGTCTAGAAAACCCGGTGCCGTTACGATTTTTAATAAGAAGACGGCTGTACAAGTAAGACTATATCAAGAGTTTATTCATCACAGCGGCGCTGCTGAAGTGGCGGACGGAGCTCGTTTTGGTGGAGCTGTTGTCTTTGATTTTTTTTCTCTATAGAGGCCTGAAGAATGAGATAATGTTAGGTACTTTCTAAGTAATTAAGTTTATACTGATTTTGTTATTGTTGCCCATCCTATATGGTTGTGCATCATTTATTTAAGAGAAGCAATAAAGTTACTTTACTGATCTTTTCAAGAGGAGAAAAACTTGAATTTTAAAGAACTTAAAGGTCATTAAAAAAAGAGCTCATTTCCGCCGCGGCCTAGGAATCAAAATTTTTCATTTTGAAGCACCCTCTTTCAAATCCTGGATCCGCCCCTGATTATTATGTGGTGGTAATACCTCATCACAGACAGTGCCTGGGTCACTAACAGTTGGATGGATGAAGTTTTTTCTCATTTATCATGTAAATCCTAGATTTTAAAGTATCAAGATGGATGTTTTCCTCATCATGACCTAACTCTCATTTGCTTGTGAAAGTATTTGAAGTTTGTGTGGAAAAATACAAAATAAAGTACAATATTTTGAAAGTTACTTTGGTGTTTCCGATTTTGTCTTTTTCATATTGTTTTAAACATTAATTTGTTTGACTGAAGAGAAAACGTTATACAGTACTTACATACCAGACTGAGGAAGGGCTGGAGAACATAGTCATAGTCAAAGCAAACACATTATTAACCATATTTTCTCATTTAATAAGAATTACATATGCCGAATACAAATGAATGGATGGATGAATGTTTATAATGAATAGTCGTCTTCTAATATAGGGAGGCCTAATGTTGTATTATTTTTCTTATAAACTCCCAGGCTTTTTCTTTTATCAACATTCAAAATACTAGCGTGATTTAAAGTAAACTTTCTAAAAACCCACAATATATATCGCATATTTTCCAATAATTCTTATAAAGTCTTGCCTTTATATTTCGTTTAAAAATGGATATAATAATTTGACTTTATGTAATCTATTCCAAATACAGGTCTTAAATTACTGTTTTTATATGCTGCCATCACGCATGCATCCACAACAGAAGCTAGGGCGTTTTCCCCATACATCGGATAGGGCGCGTACGCTGACGCGAAGAATAGCAGATGGACTCTCTTCTGTTACAGTATAATATACTCTTTGCTTGTATGAAATAAGAATCTGGTGCGGTGGCAAAAAACTTCACATACTCGCAAGGACGTCCGAACGTCATGTCGAAACTACATAACATAATTTGCAAACCACATAACATAATGAGCAAACCACATAACATCATGACCAAACTACATAACATCATGACCAAACCACATAACATAATGAGAAACCACATAACATCAT